GTACAGCAGGGGTAAGCTCAGCTATAGTAGCTGATCGCGCTCATGGAAGGACGTGTTTTTGTGTCCCTGCCTTTCAAAAGAAAACCTTTGGTGTAATTATGGCTCGTTGTATTGCTGTGTATTATCATCATTCCCTTCTGCCTCCGTGCTGCTGTTGCTTTTCGCCGTGTGGCTTGCCGTCCGGTGTTTGCATGTTCTCTTTCCTTTTCTTTTTTTTTTTAACAGGTCCTTATGGTCCTGGCTCCATATCCATTGTGGGGAGCATCAGTCCGGTTCCTTTCCACCGGCAAGTCAAAAATTGAGATACATGGTTAACACTCTCACGCTTCCTTCCATCTGGCCGAAGGAACCCTGATCAGCATTGATTGCTCTCTATCCGGAGGATTGACTGTCAGCTTGCCATGCCACTTTTCCTCTCAGAGTCTATTGTGACTCTGTCGGCTGATTCGAGTAAAGCAAGAAAAGAGGAGAGTTGTCCATACTGTTGAGATGAAAATCTCAGTTTGCCCATCACTGGTGCACCGTCCTTGTTGGAGGTGTGCTATGCCATTTCTTCCAAATCAATCTGTTATCTGTCACAGTTGCAATTTTTCCCTAAAGAAGCCAGTTTCTCATGAAGATCCGTCTCTTGATGGCTATCCTTTCTGGTCTGCCTTTCGTTGTTGATGTCACCTCCCTCCACCTGGATCGAATCTCAGTTTCGGCCATTCCCAGCAACAGTACCCACATTTCTTCTCTTGCCACCTCAGTTCCTTCGATCGTCTTGGTACATCTCCTTTTCCAGATTACCCATAGAGCCAGCTTCCTGAGCAGGTGAAACCATACTTCCTTGCCGCCTTTGAGATTGTTAGTATTGTTGGAAAGAAGCAGGATGTTTAGGGGAGTTTTGGGCGGAGGGGGTGATGAGAAGAGGAGGGACCATAGGTCGTGCACCTTGTTCCATATCCATGCTGCTTTCATGCAGTACGGTAGGCAGTGGGGTATATCTTTCGGGATACTGTCTGTGCATAGCCTGCAAAGCTCAGAGCTGTTAGGGTCAGTATGTTTCCTCCTCTTGTGGAGCCATTGATTGATCGACAACGATGTGTGCGCTAGGAGCCACTGCATGCTTCGAATCCTAACTGGTCTAATGGTCAAGTACTTCGTTCATGGGATGGAAATGGAATCCGTGGGATCCAGATTCAGGATCTCCCTCCATTTTCCTTTGAGTCTGGGGTTCCAGTATGTGGTTTGCAGACCCAGCTCATAGCCGAATTTGACATCGTAATCAAATATCGTTCTCGCTCTCCCCGATTTGCCCTGCTTCCAAACCCACTCTTTCGGGTCGAATTCAAGGTCTGAAATGCTGAGGTCCGGTTGGAAGATTTTCCAGGGTTTGGACTTTGAAACCCTCACTTTTCTCAGTCGGAAGGTTTCAAGTGTGTTGCACTGGGGATCTTGTTATGGATTTCCAGCTCTTGTAGGTTGTGATTAGCTATGGGGTATGAGAGAGTGGGTTGGTTCGAGAGACGAGTCGATATGCTCTAGTAGGCCGGGTTTGGGAGATGAGTATGCCCCAATCCCCGAATTTCCACGAGAAGTCCTCCCTTAGGAGGGAGAGCCATTGTACTGGGATACTCTTCTGGATCAAGGTCAGGTTTTCAGCGAGGGAGTGACAGCCTTTTAAGACATTTTGTAGCTCTTGTTCGATAGCCCATCATCCTTTCTCCTTTGCCCATATATGTTTCACCTACCACACACCTTTTTCCACCCAAGATAGTCATCTTCGGTCTTTTGTGCGTAGTGCCCATGTCCCTCCGTTAGGGTCGGTGATCCAAGGGTTGCAGAAGAGAGGTTGTCTCATGACCTCTTCTCTGTTTCCTGGTGAACTGTGTTTACTTGGCATCATTCTACGCCAGGCTTTGATGGTAGGACTCCAGTATGAGATGGCTGTTTGAGTGGGGGTTGTGATGAGCTCTGTAGGGTTTCTCCTGCGACGTCTGCATGATTTGATTACCCAGTCGTTCGCCATGAGCAAGTAGAGACCTCTCATGTTCGGGGGGGAGTTTATGGGCGCCAGGTTTCTGATGCTGTCTAGAGCCATCTGGGTCCAAGGGAGGGATTGTCTGATCAGGATTTTGGTAATCCATTTCATCTGCAGTGCTATGGACTCCTGTTTGTGGTCGATTAGCCCAAGGCCCCCTTCCTATGGTTTCCTCGTGATGTGGTTCCAGGCTACCCTGTTGATACACGTGGTCCTGTTGGGATCTCCTATCCATAGGTACCATCTCACCCTGTTTTTTAACGTCTTGATGTCGTCATCAGGGGGAACCAGATCGATGCCATGTACCGTAGTGTGGAGAAGATTGCCGTGTTAATTAAAAGGGCTCGTCCAGTTAGTGAGGCCTGAGCATTTTTGCGTTGGGCCAAGTGGTGATTGCCCTGGCAATTAGGTTCTGGCCCATTCCTGGTCATACTCCTTTCTTGTTGACCATGATGCCTAGGAAACGTAATGCTTGCTCTCCCGTTGTCCATGACATGGGTGTGGGAGTGTCGGATGGTTGGGGAGGGGTACCGTATGCTAGCCACCAGCCTTCAGTTTTGCCCCAATTAACCTTCATTTCCGATGCCAGTCTGAAGGCTTCCATTGCTCTTACTAGGGCTTGGAAAGAAAAGTTATTGGCTCAAATGAGGACAGTGAGGTCGTCGACGAACATAAGTGCAGTGGGTAGGGCGAAGTCGTGTAACGGGTTAAATTCCATTTAGTGAGGCGGTCGATGGATGGGTCTTTTCAAAGGAAGGAAGCTATGACTTCCATAATGAAGAGGAATATGGGCGGAGCCAATGGGTCGCCTTGTCTGACAGATCTAGATATCGGGTAGGTGTTCGATAGGATCCTGTTGACCTGGACCCTGCCTGTAGCGTATGAGTAGAGGACTTTCACCCAATTTATGAAGTTTGTCCCTACCCCCATTTTCTCCATGCATACATGGAGAAAATCCCAATTGACTTGGTCGTAGGCCTTTTCGAAGTCGAAAAACAAAATTGCAGCCTTCATTCGTTTTTCCATGATCTTTTTTGCTGCCTTGTTCAACGTCATCACGTTGTCTAGTATATACCGGCCTGGGATGAACCCTGCTTGGTCGATGTGAAAGCATTTGTTTGTTAGTTTTGTGATTTTGTTCGCAAGCGCCTTAGTGAGGATTTTGTAGGGTGTGGTGAGTATTGAAATTGGTCTATAGTTCTTTAGGTCTTCTTTGTCTCCCTTCTTATAAAGCAGTGAAACCACGCTGGTGCTCAGATCATTGCCTAAGCCTCCTTTTAGCATGCTGTCGTTGAAAACGTCGAGCAGGTCTTCTCCTAGGGTCTGCCAGAAGCAACTCCAAAATTCTTTAGAGAGGCCATCGATGCCTGGGGCTTTGTCATTTCCCATCTGGGTCAGGGCTATGTGTAACTGGGCTAGGGTTAGGGGATTGTCTAGGGCTTCCGCTTGGGTTGTCGAGATCGTCTTGTCAAGGTAAGATAGCATGAGTTGGCAGGCTGCTAAGTTCGCTATGGTCGGGGGTGAGGGTGTGTTTGATTCGTATAGATCTGCGTAGAATGCCCTGGCTATTCTGACCATTTTTTAACCTGTTGTTTTGATGTTCCCTAGGGTCTGCCAGAAGCAACTCCAAAATTCTTTAGAGAGGCCATTAATGCCTGGGGCTTTGTCATTTCCCATCTAGGTCAGGGCTATGTGTAACTAGGCTAGGGTTAGGGGATTGTCCAGGCCTTCCGCTTGGGTTGTCGAGATCGTCTTGTCAAGGTAAGATAGCATGAGTTGGCAAGCTGCTAAGTTCGCTATGGCCGGGGGTGAGGGTGTGTTTGATTCGTATAGATCTGCGTAGAATGCCCTGGCTATTCTGACCATTTTTTAACCTGTTGTTTTGATGTTCCCTTGCTCTGCTAGTCCTTGAGGCCCTCTATCATGTTGTTCCTTGCGTTTGCTTTGATTTTTGAGAAGAAGAATTTGGACATGGACTCGTTAAGTGTGTAGTCCGTCATCCTTGCTCGTACTTACAGGCCTCTCAGTTCCCATCTTCTCCACTCGTTTAGTTCTTCTTTGGTATCAACTAGTAATTCCTGGTAAAATTCGCTAGAGGGGTCCTCTGCCAGGTTAGATTCTGCAATTGAGATGGCGAATTGGAGCTCCTCTCTTCTCCTCTTGCGGTCTCTAGCTATACCTCGTGATTCTGCTGATACTTTTTGCGTTAGTTCTGCGAAGCTGTCGATGAACCATTGGTGTTTGTTTGTCTGTCTGAAGGACTCTGAACTTGCGCTGTTTATTGAGGGACCAGTTTTCTTTGACTGCCGCAGCCATCCTTTCGGTCGTTATGAGGGAGTTGTTCAATCTGAAGAATCCCTGACCTGTTTCAACGGGTGAGTTGAAGTTGAGCAGCAATTGAATAGGTTTGCGATCCAGACCTTTGAAGGCTGCAGATGGGAGGATCTCGGCCTCTTTAACTGTGCCTAATAGACTCTCAGATATGAGGAAGTAGTCAATTCTGGACAGTGATGTCCAACTGGCTTGGTTCTTCCTTATCGGGGAAAATACTTTTTTGTCCGGATGCATTGCCCTGAGTGGGTCGATGAGGTCGAATTTTGTCATCAGGTTGCGAATCCGGGTGCCCGCTCTTGTGGGGCCTATTTGTGCTGTCCTTGAGATCTGGTCCAGGTTGGGGTCCAGGGTCGTGTTCCAATCTCCTGCGATGACTATCGGTTGCGGGTTGGGGATAAGGGTTTTGATGTTCTCAAAGAAGGTCAGTCTTTCGGCATTTTCTCTTTCCTGATTCTTGCCTTTTGATCTTTTGTTTATATGAATCACCCTGTAAGCTTGTGTCTCTGCAGCACGTCCTTTACCTTTCTTTCTTCCTTTTTCTCTCTATCCACTTCCGTGTCTGCCTGTGTCTGCTTGTTTCTCCATCCATATGGAAATCACCCAGTAACTGTGTTTTCCTGTCTGCACCTGCCCGTCATTGCAGGTTTCATTCAGATTATTGAGAGGATAAGGAATCTTCTTCTTCACCTAAATGTCGATGACCCTGCACACGGATTACAGAAGACGCTTCTCTGTGCGCACTTGCACATGAAGGACCGCACGAGTGGTTGTCTCTGTTAGCACCTCCTGCATGCGTGACAATGGTTTCTGTGTCGGCCTCTTCTGCGGATGTGTGCACTGCGGTGTTCCTGTCTAATAAGTTTCCTACTCTGGGGAACGCCTGCCATCTTGATGTTCTCGCAGCACGAGCAAGAGCTGGCCACCGCCATCGACAGACGTTGGACGCATCCTGTCCACTGATTGCGGCGAGATCGGACAGAGGGTGCCTTGCTTGCAGCGTCAGGGGCGGCAAAGAAGGAGAAGGTTTCTGGTCTCCATTTTCTCTTGGGAATGGCAGCCATAGCGGCTGCGCCTCACAGACACAGAGACATCCAATCAACTGTTGCCATGGTGGCCACTGCTCATTGCAGCTGCAGGTTCTTCATACTACAGGTAGGCGAGAGAAGGGTCCGCGAAAGGGTGTGCGAGAGGGTGCGAGACAGGGTGCTACTATGTGCATAGGCAGCGGCCATGATGCCCCACCTCTGCGCTCGAGACGGTACGATACCTGCTGCATCCTGGCGTGGCATGTATCTTCTCTGCCGCCGCTGCCACCGCTAGTTCCTCCTCGACAGTCACCGGGCTGCGGCTGCTTGTCATCCCGGCCCTCGTCCCGCAATGATGACACGGAGAACCCTTTGCTGCGGTGTGGGAGAAACAAGGGGAGGAGGTGCAGTATCTGTTGTGCGTCGTCGTCAGTCGGTGTCTCGATCCCGATGGAGACTGGGGAAGACGCAGGCAGCTCACAGGGCGGGGTGAGCAGGACTCGGGTGCAAGAACTTGGGCAACGCCTGGGCTTGGGCTGGAAATTCACAAGGTGGCATCATGTCCCGTCGGTGCTGCTGCGGACGCTTTCACGGAAAAGTGGAGTAAGTGAAAAGAGAGCGGCTTGGGGGAAGAAATTCAACAAAGGGGGCAGTGATTTGAGTGCCGATCGGCCATTGCCATTGCCGATGACGTTCCCAGATTCGGAGCCAATAAGTCCCGAGGAAGTTGATAAGCTTCTTCAGTGCGATCCTGAAGTAGAGGCAAGCGTGACATAACTTCCCGGCCACACTGCCCGTCCTCCCTGTATGGTTCAATTCCTTTGTCTGTAAGTATGTGGGCTGCATCTCCCGATCTATCCATTCATCCATACATCTGCAATGACCCGTGCAGTTGCAGTCTGAAAACTCTGTGTTTTCTGAGAAAGCTGCTGTCTGTGTGTTTGCCCTGATGTTCTGAAGTAGGAGCAGGAGGGAGAGTTCTTCTACTGCACAAAAAAAAAGTGGTATTGATAAGACGGTAACATAACGACAAGATGCCAGATAGGAAGGAGAGGGTGGGGGCTGGGCCAAAGTGGCTGTAGCAGTCCTAAAGGATTGTGTGCTTCTCATTGCAAGGATGGTGCCCCCTGTTGCCAGGAAAGCTATGGTAATACTTTTTCGTCGTTTCTTTTCTTTGTGTGTGAGTGTGTGCGAAGCCGCAGAAGGTCGTATAGTTGATCTATTGTTACTGAAAAAATAAGAAAAAGTTAACGTGGGCTAAAAGCTTGGGCCCAAAGAGTTTAAACTTTAAAGCCGATGACTGCTTGGTTTGATGATTGTTCCATTTCCTATCAGATTTGTATATGTTTAAGGTTACTCAATTAAAAAAAAAAAAAAAAAAAAAAAAAAAAGAGAAACTCCATGAAGTCTTTCGCTTTTGAGGAAAAGCGTAGGGGAAAAAAAGAAAAAAAAAAGAAGCCAGAATGAGAAAAAGAAGGGGGTTGGGGTTTAGGGTTGGAGCGTTATGATTCATTTCTTTCGCCTTCGTTTCCTGGCCTATTCATTTCTTTCGCTTTTAGTTGCTGGCTTATCCCCCCACCTCTTTCTGTGTGTGTTGTGTGTTGATTCTATTCTGTCCCGACCTCTTTCTGTGTCTGTTGATTCTATTCTGCCGGTGTGTGCGACTGTGTGTGAACATCTTTGACACCCTCAAATTGTGCGCAGTCTGAGTGTTATCACAGCTTCTGGACCTCACTCCACTACTCACCAGGCCTGTTTGTTTTGATTGGAATGTGTCCATATTTCTCTTGCCTCTGTGTAGTCCAACTGGGCAGAAAATTCAAGAAAACATTCAAAAAAATGATAACAGTACTCGTGAACAAATTGAACGGGTGGCCAGCAGAATACAACTCCTCTTTTTTTTGTGTGCGTGTGTGTTTTAAGTTTTAACTTTTCAGTTTTAACTCCTTTTGTATCATCTATGCCAGTATGAGCCAACGAAGCTTGCCCAAAAATGCAGACGGGGGAACGGACGGGCGTAGCTCAGTCAGTACACCCATGAACTGTGGAAACACAGACCTGAGTTCAGATCCAGACCTAAGTTCAGACCCGGATGCAATCAGATAAGTGAGAATAACAACGAATGAACCTGGGATGGTCTCTTCGGAGATGATATCTAGAGGCCGTTGCCCTTAAACAGAAAAGAAAGAAACAGAAGGAAAAAAAAATGCAAACCGGAGGCGAGTTGATGCGCGTATTACAGCGGAGATAAGGCCATGGGATGTGCACAACATGAAGGGACTGTTGGCTTGCTGCCGTGTACATTTTTTATCACATTTCTCTGAGACGGAGAGGGTCATCAACGGGGAGAAGAGCGGGGGAGGGGCCTGTTGAAATCTTCTTATGTGCCTCCTCCTCATGCTGCTTTCTCCTTGGTGAGTCCTTTCCCTCTTCCCTTCTCCCTCTCCTTTCTGTTCATCATGCTTCTCCCTCCCCCTCCCCTCCCCCTCCCCCTCCCCCTCCCCCTGCCCCCCCCCCCCCTCC